AAAAGATTTTGATGGTTATACCTAGAGTTACTACAGGATCCAGCAATTCCACTCCTAGGTATAATCTCAAGAGAAATGAAAAGAGGCATCCAAACAAGTATGGGTGTTCATACAGCAATATTCACAGTCTCCACAAGTTGGAAACAATGCTAATATCCAACAATGAATGCATGGATAAACAAAATGTGGTGTATTCATAAAAAGGAATATTATTCAGCCATAAGAAGAGATGAAATACTACCATTTGCAACAACATGGATGGAGTTTGAGACAATCATGCTAAGTGAAATAAGCCAGAAAGAAGTTGAAAACTACATGATATCACTTACATGTGGGACATAAATCTAAAAGCAACAAAGGAACAGGACAAACAGAGACTCATGAACATGGACTATAGACTAGTGGTTAGCAAATGGTAGTGGGTAGGGAGGATTGTGGAGGTAGATGGGGTAAAGGGGGTCAAATATAGTGGGGTAGGGAGAGGATGAAGTGAGTAAAGGGGATTAAATATATGGTAATTGAAGGAAACTGGACTTTGAATAGAATAGAATATACAGATGTCAAATTATAATGTGCACCTAAAAATTATATAATCGTATTAACCAACGTTACCCCTATAAACTTAATAAAAAAATTAAGGTGACAATGATCAACAAAATCCAATAAGTTTCAAGTGTACGATTTAACAGTATGTCACCGAGTTCTTTGAAACAGTATGTACAGTAGAGTTCTTTTAAAATCAGAGTTGAAAGAATAGACTTGTGCAATATTAAAAATCCATAAAAAAAAACTTTCCCAGTTACAAATAACATACCAAATGTTATTAACATTGTGTGGAAAAGTAAAAAGGGTAGATGATGTTTTCGACATGTTTTCATCATGTCAAATTTCATAGACCCAGAGAGTCTTGTTTACAATGTTTCTCTGACTGTACGCCATTATTCTCTTTTCAATTATACATCTTCTTTGCCTATTCATTGAAAACATAAATAACAAATTTCCTCAACATTATAAAAAAAATGGTTACTTCCCACCCCTTCCATTAAACTATGTGTCTCATGATACATTTTAAGTTTGTATTTTATTTAGTTAAAAATGTTCTACTGATTGCTTTGTTCATGGCTTCCTTTACATCTTTGTTTCTGAGACTGTAGATCATGGGATTCAACATAGGAATTACCGTGGTGTAAAACACAGCCACCATTTTCCCCTGCTCCACAGACTCTTCGGTGGGACTTCTAAGATACATGAAGAAGAGAGTTCCGTAAAATATGATGACCGCCGTTAAGTGGGATCCACAGGTGGAGAAGGCTTTCTTTCTTCCTTCCACTGAGCGCATTTTTATGATGGCAATAAGGATGAATATGTAGGAGATAATAATGACCAATAAAGAATAAGAGAAGTTAAGACCTGCCAGCGTGCGCATGGTATATTCTTTAATAAAAGTTCCTCCACACGCCATTTTGATGAGAGCTGGGTCTGCACAATAGAAATGATTGATCTCAATGTTTCCACAGAAGTACAAGCCATGAGTCCACAATGTTGAGATCAAACTGATAAATTTTTTTTTGGGAAAGAGATCAGTCGAATACAGACAGTCCTTGACATTCTGCTACCATAGAGCAGAGGGTTGCCGATCGCCATGTATCTATCAAAGGCCATCACAGCAAGGATGAAGACTTCTACGTGGACAAAGGCAATGAAGAAAAAACACTGCACTATACAACCAGGGTAGGAAATGGTTTTGATTTCAGATACTAAATTTTCCAACATTTTAGGAGTGACATTGGAGGAGAACCACACATCTGCAAAAGACAAGTGACTGAGGAAAAAGTACATGGGGCTGTTGAGCTGAGGACTGAGTCTGATTAATATGATCATACCAATGTTTCCAATCAGGGTGATAATGTAGACCAGTAGGAAAACCACAAAGAAAAGGAATTGTAATTCAGGACGACTAGTTAATCCCAAAAGAATAAACTCTGTCACATCAGTAAAATTGAGCATTTTCTTAAATTTGTTCCCAGTAGAGATGCATTTTATCTAAGAGAATAAATAGAAATCAGAAAGTACACATACTATATATAGCCATTCTGCATTTATATTACCTTTTCCTAACCCATTCTCTTTCAATTCCTCTGCTATTTTTCTTTTTATCTCTCCTCTCTTCTTTCTCACGTCTTTTCTTAGCAGCTTTTCTTCTCTTATGTGTGTATAAATATTTTTTACAGAGAAAGTATAAAATAATATAAAATCATAGAATTATAGTGACAGAAATTGCATCTAGTTTCTCTTGCCTACTAACAAAAATGTTAAAGGAATCATTTTTGTTCTTGCTATCTCTTAAAAAAGGAAAGATCTTTTTCTACTGTCCTTGACTTTTAGAATGTGCATATATTGCAACTAGTTACCAGATTTGTAGAGTTTATATCTATATTAGAAATTTATTCAAAGCTGCAAGCAAAGAAATGTTATTCTATAGTTAAAAAGTTTCACCATACCTATATTTATTAATCTCACAAATTTGAAATGTTTACCATAAAAATGACTTAATAAAACTGTATAAAATGGTTTAAAACAAACTAATTTTCCTTATCAGAAAATAAGAAAGGAAAACCTCATAAAATAACACATGGATGTAGCAATTTTTTATTTTTTTTAAATTAACTGCAAAAGGAATCGAATTCTTTCTAGCCATTGTCCTCAAACAAATCTAATAAAAATAAGTTCGTTTACCTCCTCTTTTTAGAAACTTCTTCTCTCTTGGGTCTTGAAGTATTAAGAAATTCTAAGACAGTCTCTTACTTCCTTTTTCTTCTGCCTTAGAACTTTGAATAAAACAAGAGCAGTAAAATAGTGAGTGAAGGACTATATTATTCTTCTACCAATATTTAAACTTAAATTAATAAAATTTTCTAAATACACCAGAAAGCCAAAAAATGTTTTGCGAGATTGAAGAAAGTTTTAGTTTTTGATTGAATCAGATTAAGATGGCTAGGTATCTGGATTCCAGATATTGTCTAGAACATTTTAATATTCTAGTTGAAATATTTTGAGCTAATTTGCCAGCAGTGGTGGTCTACTTATGTTCTATTTATTTATGGGCCAGGGAATTGCCCAGCTGATGGTTCTTCATAAAACTATCCTACAATTGTCACCAAGGTACAAGTTAGAGAAACATCATCATCATCGTTTTTATATTCATTCATTCATTCATTTATGTAATAAATACTTTCTAGAAACATCATTGGTTCTCCTCTAATTCATAATAAGCCGTTACAACTACCTTGTTTCTTATCTATAAAGACATATAACTTTTAATACCCTTTATCGTCTGAAATCTGCCTGTCCCTTCTTATCACTAGGATTTGTCTCTATCATAGTTTTCTTCTTCTATCTGTGCCTCCCGCTACTCATCTACTGGTTGAAGTTTATATAATAGAAATAAA